AGTTCAGAAACTAAATGCAGAGGATACGCCAAATCCATTTTCCATCTAATTAACACAGATCTCCCAGCCGCAAGTTCGCTCATGTACTGACATATCTTCAGCGGAACACCCCTTCTCCTAGGCAGTCCGTTCACACGTATGTACACACATGTACACGCAGACACCGTCTACATACGTACCACACACGCAAACACCATCAATGCTCTGAAATTCATTTTCTTTCTTTATTCAAAGCATCCTCAAAACAATAAAAGATGACCTCTGGGAGACAGCATGTACCCAAATCTAATCATTTCTGGGTTTTTCTTCTTTTGATCCGAGTGCTTATACTTTCGAGCGGCCCGATCCTGTCATCCTGCTTAAGGAGTGGCCTGACATTGCCCTGCTTTTTTTTTTTTTTAATTGGCAAACAGTAACAGCGCAGCTCCCCCAACCAAAACCGGAAAACAGAAGGGAATATGGATCTCCCAAAACGCACGATCTTAATACCACAATGATGACCATGTTGGTTCATTTTCTTCCAGTACAATTTGGGAGAACACTTTCTTTCACTTAACATGAGTTCATAAGTGTTTTTCTACGATCCTAAATAATCTTTATAATTATCACTTTAATGGCCACACTGAGTGGATGTACGCCATTATTTACTTAACCATTTACCTATTGTTGGGCTTTTAGTAGCTGCTGCTTTTCACTCCTTTAAGCTGGAAAGAACATTTTTATATAAGCTATTAATTTAAAGCAACATGCAGAGAGGACTCTCCATCACTAATCTAAAAATACAGGGTTTATATACTTACAACTCACATTTGATTATGCCCTTTAATTGGAGGGTAATTAAGAATTTGCATTCTGAACAGCTCCTCGACACCAGCTCTCCCTGAGCCAGATGGGCTCCACCATGACTCGCCAGAGTCACCTCAAGACAGCACAGTCCGATGAATTCCAAAACACAATTCTCACACGAAAAATAAACTTTATGAACTCCTGCTGCTTCAGAGCCAAGAGATTAACTCCAAGAACCAGAGCCCATGGTCCTCGGAGGTGACAGGGCCAAGGCAAGCCATCATTGAAAATGCTACTGTGGCTTCCTGAGGGGTCCAGCACTCCCGACAGACCTCACCGCATCTGTGCCCAAGGCCAGGTGTGTTCCTGGGACCAACCTGGAGGGGCTGTGCACAACCTGGACCCAGACACCTCAAGAGAAACAGGCCAAGGAAATTGCTCAGATGATTCCCAGCCATTGGATGCTTTGTGAAGTTCAATGAAGGGCACTGCGTTCGGCTACAGGTTTCCTTGGGCAGGGCAGGGGTCAGTGCCTGGGTTGTAGAGGGATGCAGGCAGTGGTCCTCCTCCAGCTGCGTGACTCCCAACAAATTAAAAAAAAAAAAAATCTGCAGCCTCAATTTCTCATTCTGCAGCTTGAGGGTGGTGAGAGCATCTCCCCGTGAGGCTATCCTGAGGGTCAAGGAGGAAATCCAAGTGCTGCGCCAAAAATGCTGGCATTTGGGGAGGAAAAGAAGTACGTACGGACTGCACGCCGACATCACGCGGTGGCGTACGCACACTCATTTGCTGAATGAATGTGTGAAGGGATGAGGGAAGAATAGCACCTCCCCACCCCAATAAACAGCAAATGAACATGCTGGACAGGTATAGCCCCATAACATCACAGTAGTTCTTAATGTCCAGGAAAATGCCACTCTAAAGCTTTAGAAAATGCCACCCAGCCATCAAAGGAGCACCGATCTCCATCTGAAGTCCAAGTAAACAAACTACGAGGACCGTCTGACAACCATCTTATCCGTGGGATGAGGACAATTCCATTTCTACTACTTGAAAAACAAATACACCAGCAAACCACCCTGAGAAAAAAATTCCTCTAAGTATCACCATCATTTCTACTAATAAGAAAATGATTTTTATATACTTAGCAACTCCCTGTAAAACAGAGAAGAGCTTAGAATTGCTTTATTATTATTATTATTATTTTGCCACTGGCAATTAATTTTTTTGATTTGTTTTATTAGTTTGATGGTTGGGTCCAAGATTCAGAATATCTTTCCAAACCAGCAGACTGATGTAAGAAAATTATTTCAGTGCAGTTCCTGGCAAATCGCAATGATGAATAGCATGGTAGGACAAACTTATTCAGACACACATTTTTCAGGAGTGGCAGGGAAAAGGCTGAAAAATTACTAGTAAATTGCTTTTTGTAAAAATGCTCTCCCTTTCAAATTTTTCCTGGTAGGAAGGTCTTCTGCAGAATGATGGCACAATATAGTCTGGCACAGCTGGACAACAAAGGCAGTTCAAGAATGACTTCGAGAGAGGAAGGTTAGGATTTAATTCTCTCATTATACCCCCATGGCCCCCAGATCCACCCCACACCAGGTCCTTTTGTGTGCATCATTTTAACCTGTTGGGATAAATATCTGTAAAAGATGTGTACTATCCGTCCTTAGCAGGGATGCTGTATCCCACCCACTCTCCAGAATTTCGTCCTCCCAGCACGGAGCCAGGAGATGATATGGCTCTGGTCTATTTGTTTCCTTCTCCAGTCTCTCCAAAACTGCCCAGTATTCCCGCTTCCAACTTACAAAGGCCTGCAGCTATCCTCAGCACCCAGTAAAGCTCTAAAAGCCAAAGAAGACTTATTCTCTGTCTTCTCCAGACTACCTACAAGAGCGACCATTTCGGGTAATTCTTTTGTCAGAGGACACACAGAGGCAACAGTGGCATGAGGACGTGGCTCCCTCTTGGCTCAGCACAGAGCTGGGGTGTCTCCAGATGAGCCCTTCAAAGCAGCCACCTTCCAGACCACCCATGCATGTCCCCAGGTGCCCGGACAGTGCCATCTGCTCCCAGGCGTTCTCTCTGCTCTCCCAGGCCTTCCCTTTCAGGGACACACTCCAGCCACCCAAGATGAAAGGTCTAGTGTGGTGGTTCTTCCCCAGGGATGGCTGTGCCCCTCCCACCCCCCACGGCCATCTGGCAATGTCTAGAGACATTTCTAGCTGGCACACTGGGAGGGCGCTCCTTAGGTCTAATGGGTAGAAGCTGGGAAGCTGCTAAACATTTCTACACGCACAGGAGGGCAAACGGTCAGCCAGCCTAAAATGCCAGAAGTGCCAAGTCTGAGAAGCCCAGGCTCTCTGACCTAAACCAAATTCCACAGAGCTGATTTCTGCGGCCCTCCAGCAGAATTGCCAGTTCACTGTCTGGGCATAAGTGATGAAATAATTCCATCTTCTCTAAGTCTTTTGTTCAAGAGCTTAGGTGGGGACCTGCAAAGTGCCAGCGCCATGCTGGCCCGTGATGAGAGACCAGGCTCATGGAGTCCCCAGAATGCACAGAGAGGAAGTTCTAGAACGCACTCTCACATGGGGGCTTGGGGCTTCTCCCCACTTTTTTCCTTCATCGGACCACCATGCCCACTGGCCTGCAATTCTAACGCAGTAAGAACTAAGGCCATGGGGACGTGCCCTGCCTGTCTGTTAGACAGCGGACACTGAAACAGCAGGAACTCTGGGATCGGGGACAGCAGGATGCTGCTCCTGCCTGTACGTCTTACTTGCTGTATGATGTTAATAGGTAACATCACCTCTCTGAACCCCACTTCACTCCTTCAGATGGGCGGTATGGCTCTGAAGGTGGTAGGCACAGCCTTCACATAGCAGCGACGCTCCCGATGGCCTACATGCTCACTGCCTTCTGGAGCGGCCGCCACCAGCCACCCAGTTCCTTGTGGCATTTCTGGAGAAGCGCTCCTGGGGGTTTCTGTGCTGGGCCCACGGCTCCTCCCAGGACAACCCGAAGGGACTGGGCGGTGCAGCCTGGGCCTGTTCTGTTGGAGCAGCTTATGGCTGTGACCTTGCCTCTGGACACGGGCTCCAACGCCAGGCTCCTGCACACCCCAGCCCCTCCCACCGGACTATTTTCTTCTCAAACGCTAACTCACAAGCAACATAACTCTATTTTCTTCCTTTACGTTCAGCTCGCAAGAAAATTCTTCCACGTGCAATGAGCAGCTGTGAATCTGCCTGATAAAGTAAAGGCATTTACCCCACTGGTATTCCCCAGAGGGATCATTGGCCACCTGCACCTTTTTAGATGCATTTAATAATTCAGCCCAAGATGAATTTGCATGATTAACATAAAGCCTTGTGATTTTATTTCCTTTCAGGATTTAAATACTCAAACCACCACCATTGTTTTCATAGAGGTTGTGATCAAAACACAAAACTTGATTCTAGAATGAATAATTTTTTTTTTTTTAAGTATTTTCAAATACCACTCTCCATAGAACGCAAAGAAAAGAGTTATAGATGCAGGGAAACCCATGTTCTTTCTAGGGCTAGCGTTAACCCAATAGAAGTAAGCCACATCACAAGATTAATCCCTTCAGGTCGTCCCATGGAGCAGGAGGCCCCGCTGTCCCATGACATCCATAATGGCTAAGACAAATACATTTATGTCAGTCCTTCATGAAGGGCTCTCCACATTTATCTGATCAGGACCTAGAGTCTCCAATAAGAAAACAGCAATTCTCTTGGATTCCAATAATAGATTAATCACGTCACCCAAAAACTAGTAAAAACCCAAACCAAGTAAGATGCATTTGGAAAACCATCTGCCTGTGAAGTGGGGAAGTGTATGTGAAATGATAATCTGCAAAGCGGAAGAGGCAGCGTCGCTGGGCTGCTTGATGAAGATAGTGGAACAGGTTTGTCTAATGGGGAAATATGCATCACTATCAAAAGAAACGAGTGTATCCCACATGGAAAAGCAAGTAGGCTTTAATATCAGAGAAGCATTTCAAGCTATGCCTGCCAGCAATTCTCCGCCTGTCTGATTTTCCTTAACATAAAGGCCAACCTCACCTGTTTAAAAATAATTAGGAAGCAGGCAGTAATAGTGTTCGCTCAGTCGGTGCTGCCCGTGTGTTCATGTGTGTGTTTCTATTGCACTGACGCCTGTGTTGGTGTTTCTGAACGCAGGAATCATGGTCAGTAAAGAAAGCGGCAAATGTGTACTCACGACATCGGAGAGTGACGTGGAGCCTGCCGCCTGCCTGGCCCTGGAGATGAAGTACGCGCTGGACCCCAACCGGCAGATCAAGAAACGGAATAAAGCCCTCCAGGTGCGGTTTAAGGACATCTGTGAGGCGCAGAACGAGCAGAGGGACCCGCAGCTCTCGGCGGGACAGCCGGGCGAGAAGCGCGAGGCCAAGCCCGTGTCCTACAGGGCGGCCTACCGCAAATACATGACTGTGCCCGCCCGGAGGTCCATCCCCAACGTCACCAAGAGCACAGGCGTGCAGACCTCGCCGGACCTAAAGAAGTGTTACCAGACCTTCCCGCTGGACCGCAAAAAAGGGAACCTCAAAAGCATTCCCGCTGCAGATGCTTTTAAGAATCAAAACAATGGGTTTGCATCGGACACGAAGGAGAAGCGTGAGGAAGGACTGGGGGAGGAGGCCCGGCCGTGGGGTGCCGGCCGGGTACACAAGACGGCAGCCTTGGTTTTCCACTCCGACGAACACATGAACGCCCTGGACCAGCCTGCCGGGGCCAACTGTGCAGAGCCGTGCAGAAACCCTGATGTGCACAGCTGCCCAGATGAGCCACTCCAGAACTCCGCCCGGCCTCCCTCCCAGGAGCCCGATTACCAGCTGCACGGGAGAGCAAAGCACGACGGGGCAACACCAGACCCCGAGGCAGCTGCTCTGTCGGCCCACGGGACCGTGTTTAAAACCGAGGTGGCCACCGTTTACGCACCTGCCCCCAGCGCGAAGGCCCCCGAGGCTGCCTTGTCAAACTCTGCCGCCACGAGCGAACGGCCCCTCTGCCCGGCAGCCGACCCGGAGCGGAGGAGAGCCCCGCGTCTCAACGGGCTCCAGGGCCCCCAGGGCCCCGCGGCGGCCTGCTCGCCCCCGATGCAGTGCCTGTCCCCCGAATGTAGCGAGCAGCCCCCGCAGACTCGAGCCCCGCCGGGGGAGGAGAGCCAGCCTTGGCCCTCGGCCGCCGCGGTGGGCGAGGAATGCCGACAGATCGTGCCCCGCACAGAAGTTGTCGATCTGAAAGCACAGCTGCAAGTGATGGAGGACCTGATCAGCTCCAGCCAGGAAACCATCAAAGTGCTCCTGGGGGTCATTCAGGAGCTGGAGAAAGGAGAGGCCCATCGGGAAGGGTATGTATGCCCACGTTTCTCATGAAGCTGTGCGGGCTCACCACCCCCAGGGTCCCTCTGTAGCCTGTAATGCCCCAGATCCCTCTTGAGACTAGTGCCAGCATTTCTGGGAGCAGGTGACAGTCTGAGGGCAGGCCAAGTTCAAAGGGGTCCCGGGTTGCTTTATGAGGGCTGGGCGTCACTGCATGCTCGCCCTAAAGACTCACGTGATGCTTAGTATTCCTCTGTCTGGCCCGGAATTCAAACCCTATACCTCTGTTTTGAATGCATGAATTGACGGCTCTTAACTCTGTATGTCCTAGGACGAAAAGTTCATGCTAGGGAGGAAGTGTAACAGGTGCGCCAGCCCAAAATATCTAAGAAACTACTCGCCTCTTAGGAGTCGTATTAGGGAAGAAAAAAGAAAGAACTGAAATGACATTGTGCAAAGCAGATGCTGACTTGGTTTTATTCAATCATTAGAATAACATTGATATTCAGGACTGTACAAGGCTTCAGACAATAGAGGATATGTTTCTGGGTCCCGCTGTGGAGCTCCTAGAAGAATGCCTGCCCTCAGGCAAGGCCTCTCCGTGTGTGATTAGGAGACATGCCTTTCCTCCTGAGTGTCTCATGTGTGCAGCTGGGCTACAGAAGGAATCATACCCAGTCGGCAGCCAGAACCATCCAGCCTTGATAACAGAGCGCTAAACTTTGTTTCCCATCTTTTGAACTCGAAATTGTGCAGTGGCAAATTTAAAAGCAAATGACCTAACGGAGGGATGCTAGCCTTGAGTCCCTCAGCTAGGAAGGCTCATGGGGGCCTGGCAGCGTGCTTTGCTGAAACCAAAGTGCCAGCACTGTTCTAGTTCCAAGCTTCTCAAAACAGTGCCCACAGCTGACTGGCCCTCGTCTCGACTGCCAGGTTTTCTGTTTCCCATTTCTCCTTGACACTGTCTGGATTCCCTGCCGCCCCTGATCCAGAGGTGGGATGGGCCTCCAGCAGGGAGGGCCCTGCTGCCTCATGGGGTTAGTTCCCTGTCCTGGGGGCCCTACCCCTTGTTAAGTGAGCTAGCAGCCAGTGTGAATAGAAGCCAAGAAATGCATCGTCAGGGCAGCAAATCACCAGGAACCAGAAGTTTTCTCAAGAGGACTTTTGTGGTTCAGTTATATGGTGTTTGTGTATTGCAAACAAGGGAGAGGAGACAGTTTTTACTGCCCAAGGCAGCAGGTGAGGCTTACTTGGGCTGTGGCTCCAGAGGCAAGGTGCCTGGTGCAGGCTCTGGACCTGGTTTCTGTTTCTCCAGCACAATGCAGGTGGCCCATCTACAAGGGAGATGATCCCCAATGCCTCCAGCCCCCTGGACAGAGCACAGTTTCCACTCGATGGTATTCAGCTGCGGGCCAATGAGTGGTAACCTATCATTACAGAATGTTTTCGAAAGGCCTCTTTCAGTCTTGGGTGTACATTTCCATTTTCATCCCATTTCAGTCATTTATTAGACTTGAATATGTACACATCCCAAAGCAACATACTCAGGAGGGTGTACAAAGGATTGGCAGATCAGGAGATGACATCACACAGAATTCGAAGCCCAAACAGGGACCTGATTGCTGACTTCAATACAGCTCATAGTGACTGAAATCAGACAGCAACATAGGAAAGTATCAACATTACTTGCTGGGGAAAAAAGTGACCAAATGGGATAAAGCCAAATGCATTTGCGAGAGAACTGTGTGTGCTTACCGGGCAGATGCCAACGAAAACCCTGCCGAGGCTGAACACCCGCCAACACCCAGGAAAGGAGAACCACGGTGAGCTGTAGGCTCCTTACACTATTCGAACGAGTGTAGAGATCTGTTTTCAATGGGAGCCTCTAGGTTCTCTGCAGCCCTGCCAGGTGACACACTGCTTCTGCACTTTCTGAGACACCTTTAGGTGGGAATTCTGACTCTGAGGACACGGGACAAGGACTACACCCCTCTGTGCCCCATTGCTTCATCTCTAAGTGGGGATCATCACTCAGCGTGCAGATGGAGGGAGATGATGATGTGGGGTGACCTTCCAATGCAGTGCCAGGTGCATCTGAATGGGTTAAGATCTGTGGTGGCATGAGTATTAATTAGTGGGATTGGTCAAAGACGCTGGGGTTTGGGGAACACTTAGCAGCCCACATCTGAGTCCAGTGTGATGAACGTACCCTCCACACTCCCAGCACACGGGCTGCCATCAGTTCTTCCTACAATCCTTGAGCTACTCGGTGCAATGCAGTACCCACCAGCCACAAATGGCTACTGAAATTCAAATTCAGATGAATTACAATTGTAATTTCAGTTCTTCAGCCATACAGCCAACATCTCAGGTGCCTGAGAGCCATACGTGATGACTGGTTACTGCACAGAACACCGAGCATTGCCATCCTCATAAGCAGGCCTTCAGCCTGGTCTTCCCAAAACGGGGCACAGTGCCTGGCTACTATCTGTGTGAGGACTGAGCAGCACAGATCAAGGCATGGGGTGACTTTAAAATCAATCCCTAGCTCAGCTGCCGTCTGCGCAGTACAAGCTCGCGGCAGAAAGCAGGTCCATATTCCACAGCCGTTCCAGAGCCTTCCTTCCCACCTGTCTCTGAGCCCTCTGGACTCAGATCACAGTGAGTCAAGCGGTTTCAAACCCCAAGGCCACCCTGAAGGTGGCCCCTCTTGCCAATGCCTGAGGCCATTAATTTTGCCAAAACTCCTATTTCCACCACTCTTGTCTATGTCAGAATGTGAGGGGACAGCAGCCTCGCAGGTGCGCACAGAAGGGGTAAGCTCCTTCTCCATCCTTCTCCTGGGTGTCTGACGCCATCACAGAGCAGAGGGTGAAAGACAGGTGTGCTGGTACCTCTTTATCAAGGGAGGATTGGGGTGAATAGCATTTGCTGATTTCCATGGTGTAAATATTGCTACCGTAGCCACTTTCAACCAGCTCACAAAACCCTGAAACTTTACCATTCTGCTCCTCCGAGCACCAGACCGTGCCCCTGATGGGCATGACCCAGGAGGGTCACTCTAGAAGAAGGCTTACTTCATGTACCTTATCTGAGCCAGGGAATAAGGTGTTCTCTTTGCATCTCACAGTAAAAGAACAGGAAAACCCACTCTACTTTCACAGATTATTATACAGTTGTTATGTAACATGACAAAGAATTTCATGACCAAGTTAAAAAAGATCAGTAGAGCTTTCCTTGGAAAATATTCTAGAGTTTAAAAAGATAGCAACAGTAGAGAACGTGCAGGCGCTGGATAAAACTTCTGGCCTCACCTTCCACCCTCCATTAAGCACAGAGATCCTGCTCTGTCAAGAAGTCACCTGCGCTGGGGAGGTCCTGGTGGGGACAGGCATCTTAGGTGCACTGTGGAGCTCACGACTTCAAATCCCAGTGACAGATGCTGCCTCTGCACCCACGTCACACAGTGAGGCCATGGGCTTGCTATGGTGTAGGACGGGAGGACAGAGCCAGGGAAGGCAATACTCCTTGAACTTGGCGAGGCTCCATGGGCCAACTTACATTTCTTGAACTACACTGAATGTATCAACTTTTTTGTGGGACTTCCCTTCACTAGTGAGTTTGTATAAACTGCATATCGAGTCTGTCAGACGAGCCTGCTGAAGTCGTTCCTCTGTGCATGGGAATTCCTGGGTCACCAACCCTAACCCCGTGCAGGAGCTTCCCAGTTATTTTTCATGAGATTCATTCATCTCACTTGCTTATATCGATTTCCAAAAAGCCTCGGCAGAGTGTTTTCAGTGTAAGGAAGTTACTGGATCTCAGAGAGCCCCAATTTCATCTCATACCAGACAAGGCTACCAAAAGCTTAAAGACAATGTCTGCAAAACTAGTAGCAGAAAGCAGCACACAGCGGGCACCGAGGAAAGGCCATGTCCTAGTATGAGCATTTCAGAGGATGCATTCCATAAAGGAGGTAGCTGTGCAAAAAGTATTCAAAATCATGCCTTTCAGTCCGTTGTAAAACGTTCAGGCAGTTCACAAACATTGCTCGCTTTATGCAGGGAGGGCAGCATTTGGTCACTGCTGGTATGAACACCAGGAATTATCCTGCTTATTTCAGAGCTCTCAGTATTATGCTTGTCTCTTTCCGGGAAGTTCAGGGTCACACAGGCTGCCTCAATAGGCCACCAATGTAGTCGTTGAAGGCTGAGAACCAGGCTAACAGGGAAATGAATTTAAAAACCCCATTGCTTCGTGTAACAGCTGTAATCCCCAGAGCAGCCGGGGTGGCCGGGCAGGAGATCCTCCGATGCACTGACTGCAGGTTCGAAGTGCTCCCAGTGTGCACTCGCCAGCCACTGCGACGGGCGCTGCATGGGGAGATGGTTATTTACTTCTAGGACTGCAGTCCAACATGCTGAGTGTCTTCATGCGTTTGGGGGTCAGTGACAGCCTAATGAGACTCGGCAATGCAGAGAAGACCCGAAAACTACACAAGCAGCTTTAGGTGAGCTATCGTGCATGACGGCAGGATCTGCTGTTGCCCAGAGTCAAGTAGCCTCTTTGGCTGGTCACATCTCTCCCCGTGTCAGAGGGGTGTTACCTACCGGCGTGGCTGCTGGGAGAGGCAGGGAGAGAGCAGGACCCGGGCCATTCCGGGCTGTCAAATGTGATGGATGGGCAGAGATGAAATCTGGAAGCCAGAGGCTTTGCAGCTGTACTGAGTGAGAGCAAATGTGAGACCATCAGTTAAAAGCTGCAAAGCCTCAACAGCGAACCAGCTCAAGGACCCCAGGAGCTTGCAGGCAGGGCTGTGAACCTGGTGACCCGGTCTCCCGCTCCTCCCTGCTACGGATCCTGGGGTCCCGTCCAGCCAGTTCAACCTCACCAAGAAAGAGTATTTCTCCGTTGATGTGAGGTCCAGGGCACATGGGACTAGCAAAGAAAAATAAGACAAGGGAATCCCCCCTCGATCAGGGGCCCTTTGAGGGCAGTGCTCACAGTGGCTTTGAAGACAAAAGAGGTA